CCCCCCCCCCACCCCCACCCACCGCCCCGGGTCAGGCCTGCTCTCTGTCTTAGCCCGAAGCTCACACTAAACACGCAGGGTTGGGGACAGGATGTCCTCACCAGATATCCCTCCTTCCCCTGTAGGGCCTCGTCAGCTCAGCTAAGACTCGGATGCTAGTTCAAAAAGTCACTTAACTGACGGTTAATTAGTTCGGAACTCTGGACTCGACACACACAATTTATGGAAATCAGTAGTGACGATAAAAGGGAATTGGATTGCCAGCGTCGGAGCCAGGAAAATCCTGGCGACAGAGAGAGCCCCACCATGCCCGGACAGGAAGCTGAGCCCAGCTGAGCCATACCTCCGGGGTCATTTCCACGGGGTCGTCTTTTTCTTCTCTCTTAATTTCTTCCAGTTCTTGAAACTTCTTGGTAAGTGTTTGAATTTCCTCTCTAACGTGGGAGGGAAAAGACGCCATCTTACTGGTCACCGTGCTGTGACACGTGTCTGTGTGACAGCAGCGATGGCCGCCTGTGGAGCTGGCAAGGCCACCTGTCCCAGGGCGACATGGGGTCTCTGGCTACCACCCCTCCTACACCTCGGGCCGGGCCGGTGCACAGGACTGCGCTCTGTGGTCTGTGGGTCACCTAGATCTGGGGCCCGGAGAGGGCGGGGACAGAGGACGTCTGGGGCCAGCACCACTTCTGGACCATGGTAAGAGTTCTGAGGCCACGAGGGACAAATGGGCAGGAATTATGTGTGTGTTTGTTTGTTTTAATTTCTTTATTTTAGATGGGTTTAGGGCGGGGAATCCCAGGCAGGCTCTGAGCTGTCAGCACGGAGCCCGACGCGGGGCTCAAACTCACAAACCGCGAGGTCGCGACCTGAGCTGAAGTCAGACGCTCAGCCGACTGAGCCACCCAGGCGCCTCCTACTGGGGGCTTTTAACAAACAATGTGACTGGAGGAAAATACGATGTGTGCCTTCACTACAGGTGTCTGAGGCCAAGCAAGAGCAACTCTTCCCCGTGTACCTGCCCTTTCCGGTCTCCTTTGATCCCGCCTAGTCAGTTCTCCTGCAAAATATTTTCATTCATTCCAGTAGTCTGTGTCTGACTTACTATTCTGAGTGCTAGGTATTTCTGCTCAGGGTTCTCACCTACGTTTGGGGGGACATTTTTTATTGAGGTGAATTTCGTACAACATAAAATTCACTGTGGCCAAGTCTGCGATGAAGCGGGTTTGAGCACCTCCGCAGCATGGTGCCACCGCGCTAAGAATGCTCCCACCACCCGCGCCCGTCGGCAGCCCCTCCCGCACCCCCGTCCCCCAGCCCCTCTCCCTGTATTTTGGAATCCTACACCAGGGGGCCTTCCTGTCTGCTTCCTCCGCGTGCCACGAGGTTCGTCCCTGCTGTCACACGTGTCAGAACCTACTGCTTTGTATTCTTTCCTACAAACGTACTTGTTTCCTATCTATTCCTCAGAGACGGGCTTTGGGGCTGTTTCCACTTTCTGGAGACTGTGAGTAGTGACCCTGAAGGAGCAGGAGGCTCTGTCCTGGGAGTCCTGATGGGGTGACCCCCCACGGTGGCCGCACCGCAGTGAAAGGTGCGTGCCGAGGACCGGGCGTCACGCCAGGGAGGCAAACGCCGGCCTGATCGCCAACAGCCCTTCCCCAGAGTCAGGATTTTTACTCCGAAGGAAAGAAAGAGCCACTGCAAGATGTCAGGGCGCGGGGTGTGGGGATCGGGCAGGGGTTGTATAAGAGCCACTCCGAGAGCCGCGCTGAGGAAAGGCAGGAAACGCTTGGAGTCGTGCGACCTCCACAGCCTCTGCCTCTTGTGCACTCACCTCAGAGCCTCCTCTCTTCCTCTTCTCTCCTCCTCCCCTTCCCTCACGCCCTCCAGCTCCTTCTGCAAGGTGGCGTTTGTCTGTAGCAGCTGTCTCACTTCCAAACTGAACACACAGAAGCAGAGACGTTTCGGCGTCACAGGAACACCGATCCTCACCCAGCAGGAAGGGCTTTCAGCAAACATCGCGCAGCCTGACCTCCGTCCCCGTGACGGTGGATGGACGGCAGGGGCACTCGCTCATAGCTACACAGAGCCATAGCTACAACAGACCCGAGAGGCCCGCCGGCCTGATGGGGGTTCATCCAGGTATTTACTGGGCGCCTGCTATGTGCCAGTGGCTGTCAGGTGCCCGGGATACCGAGGTGAGCACCATCACACGAGCCGCGGGCCCTGCTCGCGCGGGTCTCGCTGTCTCATGGAGACGGGCGTTATCCCAACAGTCACCCAATCGGGTATGTCACCCCTATCTGAGAGGACTGCTGAGGGTCCTGCCCGCGCCACACGGGGCTGCTGCCTGAGCTGGGGCCCTGAGGACGAGGGGGGTTACCCCGTCACCTCCAATGAAACTGCTGCCCGATGGGCTTTCCTGGGCCCCACAGGTGGCACGTGGCTCCAAGACAAGACCTTTGTCTGACCTCAGCTCCACTGGTTCCAAGGTTCGTTTAATCTCCACAGGAATCCGAGACACCCTGACTGTTTAGCAGAGCCTCTGTCACATAGTAAGGGCTCAGCAAGCGGAAGCTATTATCATGCCGTGTGACGGCTGAAGAGAAAATCGCAGATGTTATTTATCTTTCAAAATGACTAGCCCCATTTTTGAAACCTCTCATGAAACACTAATTTTTACAAAGGACCTGCCAATTGGCATAGATGCGCCTGGATTGGGGGAGACCAAGGGGAGTGTGAAGGGGTTTTCCTCTGCCATAAACAGGCACCAGAGAACTTAGTCAGCTTAGGGAGGCCTTCTCAGACCCAAACATGCCCACGATCACCAGGGGGCGTCGCTAGACACAGAGTCAGTCAGATTCAGGAGATCTGGGTCTGACAAGGTTTTGCGTCTCCAACCAGCCCCCAGGTGGGTAGGGCCGGGTGCCGCATCCCTAACCAGCTCCCAGGCAGCCGGGGCTGAGGTTCTGCATCTCTAACCAGCCCCCAGGTGGGCGGGGCTGAGTGCTGCATCTCTAACCAGTTCCCAAGTGGGGAAGCTGAGGTTCTGCCATCTCTAATCAGCTCCCAGGTGGGCGGGGCCAAGGCTCTACATCTCTAACCAGCCCCAGGTGGGCGGGGCCGAGGTTCTGCATCTCTAACCAGCTCCCAGGTGGGCGGGGCCAAGTGCTGCATCTCTAACCAGCTTCCCAGGTGGGCGGGGCCAAGGTTCTGCATCGCTAACCAGCTCCCAGGTGATGCTGAGGCTGCTGGTTGCCCAGGCCACACTCTGAGAGATAACCCTCATCTCAGAAGATGCATGGGTTTGGCTTATAACACAACTTTGACCAGAGAAGCCACTAGCGGACAGCGGAGGAGACAGGAACATTTTTAGGAGGCTACAACTCAAGACACTAGAGAACCAACAGCGAATAAGCAAACTCTGCAGGCTTTTCCTTTCAAACTCTCAGGGTCACACTGAACGCTTCACAGCATGTCTGTCTCATTTGGTACTTAGACGAGATCCCTTAAACATACCGCTGATTCTAAACCTTAAAGAAAATCTAACTGATGGCCTATCTACCTCACAAATCAATGAAGGTAGATTATTCTCTAGTGAAGAATTTGGGAATGGCTCTGGAATGGAGTCAAGAGGTTTGAATGACACCTCCCCTTCTTTCAATAACGTGATGTGGTCAATTGCTATCTTGTTTTTACCACCGAAGTGGCTCTTATCTCACAAACAAGATACAGGACTTTTCAAGCACATGAAACCAGGCCAGCAGTTACTACGAGGAGCTGAGCATGTCTCCCGAGTGCGCCAGGATGGCCGGACTCCCGCCGCGACCCTTTCCAGGGCGGAAGGTGCTGGCCGAGCCTTGCAACCTACTCTTTCTCCTGAAGCTGCATCTGCAGCGCGTCCCGCTCGCCTCTCAGGCTCTGCACCGTCCCCCGGAGACGCTCGCTCTCCTGGTGCCGGTCACATCTCGGCTGCCGGGGCACGGTGGAGCTGGACGCAGACTGCACCGGGGCGTTTGACTTGACCTCTTCTGAAGCCTGTGATGTGGGGCTTTCCATCGAACTTATTTTCTGGGGGCAACAAAGGCATTTGTTAGAAGTTCTTTCTCATTTTCCTTTAAGGTTGTGAAACCCAAGGAAGACCGTGACCAACGGAAACTGGTCCCAGGCGTGGGTGTGGGCCAAGCTCTGCGTGTGACCTCACAAGCCGGGATGGCACCACGTCACCGGAGCCCGGCGGGGAGGTGAAGAGCACCCTGCCCACAGAGCCCGGCCTGGCACGGTGGGGGCAAGGCGCCGTTAACAAGATGGAACGGAGGGCACGTGGGAGGTGAGCTCATACGCTTTTCTTTGGGCTCATGGACCCTACCATTTCTTTAGGATTTCTGGAATTTTCAGCCTCTGTGCTTTTAATCTCACGTGATAGCCCGGTTTTGCCAGCTGAGAGGGACTGACTGAGCGGCTCCAGCTCCCCGGTGATGGTGGGTGTCTCAGCCGAGAAAGCACCACCCCCTGGGCTTCCGCACCACCTCTGGGTGACCACCTTTCCTAACAAGCTCTCTTCTCAAAATACCCACAGTGCATAAAAACTCAGGTTTTCTGCTGTGTAGATCTGTAGTTACTTGATGCTTCCTTCTAGGTTTTCTCCGGTCAGCCAAACCAGGGGACAGCTCTCACCGTTTCACCAGACCAGTCAGCAGACGCGGGCCCTTCTGACCCACTCCAAACAAGCGGACTGAGTACTGACCAGAGGAGTGAAATCAGATCTGCAAACCCACGGCAGGTATGAGGAAGTATTAATCTCCCCAACTTTCTGATGATAAACAAAGTTTTCCGACTCAAGTATTCAGGCCGCCTGGTTTCTGGAAGGCCCTAGGCCCACCTGCCTCCATCCCTGGTCCCACAAGGAGTCCAAAACCATGGGCCATGTGACCGTGGCTTGGCCACCTGTGACACCAGGGACAGGAACGACACGACCCGTGGGTCTCGTCCAGACCTGCACGGAGTCTGCTCATTCCCATCTGCATCGCGTGCCATGCGGGGGACAGCCACCATGCATGTGCTGAGAGCATTCTGTGAGCAAAGGGCTCATCTGCGTCCCCACTTTACAGGGCGCCAGCTTCTCCTGGCGCTCGGGCGGGTCAAGGATGGGCAGCTGAGAGGCGCACCACTCACTTTTTCCAGCTCCGTGATCCGTCTCAGCAGCCGGGGCTTACTCCACTCCGTGTAACCTGATGGAAGCAATGATTTAAGAGGTGAACTTGGCACAGCCATCCCGATGGCCCCGTCAGCCCCGACCGCCCACCTCTAGCACAGCCTATGAGTGTCCCCTTCCGCCGCGCGGCGCCTGGCAGATTCGTGCAGGAAGGGTGCCTCCCAGCGAGGGAGTCCGTGCCCACACTGTGGAGCTGGCCATGCCGAGGGCCTCCTAAGACCTCAGTGTGACATCCACACCTGATCGTGCGTGCCGGTCCGAGACAGAACTTCTCAAGGCCACACACGAGTCCGCGCTGTATCCTCCGCCTTCCTCCCTCCTCCCGGCACTTCCTTCCCCGGCGCTCTGAGCTCCGTCACCGTCACCGCCACGGCTCACCCTCTGCACCCTGCTGCGTCGCACCAGGGGCTGGACCCCAGGCCCTCCTCTGCTCTCCTCACTCACTGGTGCGCTCAGTCCCAGCCCGGCCCTCTGCCGGCTGTTGACCCCCATGTGGGCATCTCCTGCTGAGGCCTCTGCCCTGAACTCGCAGATGCACCCACCTCCACTTGGACACCTTTTGCGCACCACAGACTTGACACGTCCCCATCCCCAGACCTGCTCCTCTCTCCGTCACCTCCACCTCACAAGGACACCCTGTCCTTCCAGCAGCTCAGATAAGAGCTTTGGAAGCCGGCTCCTCCATTCTCTGAGGCATCCGGAACCTGGCCACCTGCCACCCCTGTGGTGCCCGGGGTCGCCAGCAGCCCCCATGGGGACGCCACAGAAGCCCTGGTCTTCCCACCCTCTCTTCTGCACACGGTCCATTCAGCACTTCTCACCTCTGCCCCAGCCCCCAGGGCCCGGGTGTGGCCTTCACAGCCTGGCCCCACGACTTCCTTCTGCCATCATCGCCACCACCCTCCCACTGCCTACGTATGCTGGGCACACTGGCCGTGGGCATGGCTGTCCCCGAAGACCCTACTCACAGGTGCACGCCACTGCCCCCGACACCTGCTGTCCTTCCTATTTCGCTCCGTGGCACTTCTTGCCACCAAGACCCATGACTGACCTGCTGGCTTCTCCCTCCCAGTACGATGTGGCCTCCACGAGGGATGTCTGCTTTTGTCTAGTGCCCTCCCCAACTACCTGAAAGGGTACTTGGCTCACAGCAGGTGCTCCTTAGATCTCGGAGTCAATTTTGGTGTTGCCCAGCAGTACGCATCTGCATTTCTGGCAACTGAAACAGGGGCGTGGGGTTGCCAGATTCTCCCGCGTTTCACCACCTGCGTCCTTCCTCAAAGAACCCGAGACACGGCCTCTCCTCGAGCGCCCCTCCGCGGGTGGCTCCCGGGCCAGTACCCTTCGTGGTGGAGACGGTGGGGGAGTTGCTCAGCACACGGTCCAGGTCTTCCTTCAGGCTTTGGTTCTCCTCCGTGAGCTCCTGGACGCTCCGGGACAAGCTCAGGAGGGCGCTGCTCACTTTCTTCGGCCTCTTGACGCCCAGTCTCTTCTCCCCCGGAGTCCTGGGAACAGCAAAGCCGAGGGCTAGGTTTGGGTTTCTAAACCGGCTGGATAAATGCCTTCAAGGGGGGCAGCCACACGGCACCTGTGGGTGCCTGTCTGTGGCTCAGAGTGCTCTCTGCAGATATCTGCAGTGGAACAGGGAACCCTGACACTTAACTACAAGGAAGCAAAGTGCTGTCCCCCAAACAGAAATCTGTGCTCATCCATCAACCTGCAGAACAAAACACTGTATTTGATACTAGTAATATATTTTAAATCGTATCACGAAAACGTTTGTGGGAACTCACGTTCTCTCTCGTTACGTAAATAGCCGTACCATAGCTTGATTTGCCTCTTATCCTACAGTGTCTAAAATACAGTCGGTCCTCATTGTTCAGATTCTGTATTTGCAAATTTGCATTCTTGCTCACACTTAACGTGTGACCACTTCACAGTACAGGGCCACGGGCTGGGTGGTGGACAGCCTGAGGGCCAAGTTCCCGGTGGCGGGGGTGGGGGGCAGGAGTGGGAGGCAGGGGTGGGGGGGTGGTTGGGGGGGACAGGCACCCGGCTTGGCTCTCACTGCCACCCTCGGGCTGTCCACAGGCAGCACCTTCACAGCCTGTTGAGTACATGCTTTTCACACCTGGGTGCTTTCGTTGGTGAGTTCAGGGTTTAAAGCAGTCCCCTTCACAGCGCTCAGGGGCTGCCCCATGTCCCTGCCGGGGCTCGGGAGAAGGCTGCGATGGGCCTCGAGGAAGCCCGTGTGTGAGGTGCTGGCTGACACGTGAACGCACAGACACGCTAGCGGAAACAGGTTGTGTGCTGACCAGTGGGTGACGGTCCTGCGGCCCAAGGCACCTGCTGCAGGAGCCTACGCGGCACGCGCCCTGGGGGCGATGGCTTAGCAGATGCGCCCATTCCGTGTCTGCGGACGCTTTGCGGGGCACGCCTGCTTCAAAGAGCAAAGCAGCGGCTGTCCTGTACAGAGAAAGTCTGCCAACCCCGAAAAGAAGGAAGGGAAGGCCGTGCCTGGCTCAGGGCGAATGCCTGATTTGAGTTCGCAGCTCAGTGCCGCGGCAGTGACGTGGCCAAATCTGTGAAAAGGGAATCTTCGAGACGGGGAACCCCTGATGTCTCTAATAAACTTCTTGGGGGGAGATGGACTTGTACTTGGCATTAAACGCCTTCTTAATAAGGAAGCCCTGCTTGGAACAACAGCGCTTTCTAATTCTAAGCTGGAGGCTGTTACATAGCAGGAATTAAGGACTCAGAGCATGGGGAGGTGAACATGCAGTTAGGAGCCAGCACGTGGCTGTGCGTCACCGTCCCAGATGGAAACCGTTAACAGACTGATGCAGGTGCGTGCACTGCTCCAAAGAGAAGGGCAGTGCACGCAGTTCCCGTGTCATGTCTGCGCTACTTTCGGGACCAAACATGAAACACGGTTCCCGAGGAGATGATCATACTTCTTTCCCGCGGTCTCGGAGCTCGCCAAGAGAGTCTGGAGACGATGAATCTGCAAACGCCAAATTAAAATATGTTACGGTACAAAACGAGCATGAAGGAGAACGTGCTCTGAAAAAGTTGTGATCGGGTTCCTGGTTTCTGCCTAAGTTGCTGGGATTCACGTTCAAGCTGAGACGGAACGGGAGCGCAGGGTGCCAGGTGTGGCCGGCGACCGCCCAGGTCACTGACTTCCCCTCCCCGAAGGGCACGCACCTCCTCGTAGTACGTCTCCATGGCGATTCTCATCTCCTCCAAGTTAGTGGTCTTCATATCAGTCTGCAGTTTGCTAGAAACCCAGTTCACAGTTAGTAGGGCAGCGCCGCCCTCCCCGGGGCAGAGCAAGGGCAAGAGTGCTTCCCAGGACGTCAGCGGAGGAAGGGCTTGGCAGAAGAGAAGCGGGCTGGGCGGAGACCCACGGAGAGTCCTCACAGCCATGGGCCCCCTTCTGTGCAGAAGCAGACTCCCTAAAGCTATTCCTCACTAAGTTGGGGGCTGTCGTGGAAGAAGCGGGGTACCCGTGAAGCCTGGGGCGAGGACAGCCGCCTCTGGGGGCGGTGGGAGGCTCCTTCTGTGAGGAAGGAGCGTCACCCCCAACCCGTATTGCCAGCACCCCCCACTCAGCATCCAACAGACTTCAGATAAAAAGCTCTAGCAAATCAAGGTGCGGAGTTCAGGGTGCCGAAATACAGAAGAAATCAGCAAATGATACAGATTTTTACAGGGGACGATTTCACCAAGAAGCAGGAGGGGAAGCAGAGGAACAGAGAAGGGACGCAGGGAGAGAAAGCGGAAAGGGACTCGGGCGCCTCCAGGCAGGACTCTGCTCCGCACGGCACCACCGGGACCACACGGGACCAGGGCAGGCCGCTGGGGTGCCAGCGCCCACGGACCCACAGGGAGATGGCACGCGGTCCACACCAGACCGAGGACAGAGAGCAGGGCTCAGATGCAACGGGAACAGGAAAAGATGAAAGGGAGACGCTGTTCCGGTGATGTTTGAAGAGGCAGCCGACACTTCCTTTCGTAGTGTTGGCACAAAGAGGATGCTGGGACAAGGGACGTGGGACGGAGGGTGGCGGGTGGGGACTGGGGGTGCAGTCCCAGCAGACAGAGCAGACACCGCTGCCGGGTACGAGGGGAGGCGAGCGGGCACGCGGGCTGGCTGCAGCCAGCCTCGCCAGGGCCCGGCCGAGGAGACCCTGCGGAGCCCGCTCCCCCCCGGCCCGCCCCCTGCCCGCCCGCGCGTGCCCGTACTTGATCGTGTTGTCCTTCTCCTTGCACTGCTGCTCCAGCCTCAGAATCCTCTGCTTTAGCCCGTTAACGACCTGCCAGTTGAACACGCGCGCATCAAGTCGACTGCTTCCGCCGTCCACGAGCTCCCCCTCCCTCCTGTCCCCGGGCTGGGCTAGGCGTCCCCTGCCCGCTGATCCTGCCCCACTTGGTCGCCGGCTTCTCCCGTAGTCCCTAGCACAGCAAAGAAAGGGCCCGACTGTCCGGCTCTCGGCGCAGGGCGGGGCGGGGGCAGGGTGGGACAGGTGCAGAGCCTCCCCCCCCACCCCCACGTTCCACACTAGGAACACACGGATGCACCACCATCACCAGATTCAAAGGACAACTGTGTCCACGGTATCCCCTTGGGAGCGAGCAGAGCTGACCCCCCACGACCCTGAGCTTCACTCTGGGGCACGGAAGACCGCGTGTGTCTCGTTGTTCCTTCTCTCTGCCAACCCATCACTGTGGGGGACAGCACCCTTGCGCTCCTGAAAGAATACCCCCTTCTTTCTTTCTGGCTACCCAAACACCTTCCCAGTTGGATTTTAAACTAATTTTCAATTACGTTCGGTAATACATGAATACATCTTCTTGGGGAAAAATGAGAACATATATCAGACTATGGCCCTTGCCCTTAACCCCCCTCACCTAATACTGTCATCAAGCGAATTTGTGTCCTCTAGACCTTGTGTCGTGCATGTGCACCCACTGACATTACGGCATCCTACCGCACAGGCGGCCACGTGGTTTTCTCATGCCACGAATGGTCCTGGTGGACCATCCCTGTGGGGCCGCACCCCTACGTGACTCCTGCCCGGTACAGTCATACGGTGTGGACACCCATTCCTCGATCGATGAGGCTTAAATTGCTATTTACGACCAAGACTTCAGTAGAAATCACCCTTCTTATGCACACGTGCAGACGTTTCTTGAAGGGCGATGCTCACCAGCCCAGTGCTCACCAGCCCAGTGCTCACCGGCACCTTGCTCACCAGCACAGCGTTCAGTCACAGGACACGGCAACTCCGAAGGGCGATTTGGCAGCGGGTGTTAAGGTGGAAACTGCACACACCCAAGGATCTAGAATTCCTACTTTCAATCAACTTTAATTTTAAAAAAAGCCGGGGCGCCCGGGTTGGCTCAGTCAGTGGAGCATCCGACTCTCGACATCAGCTCTGGTCGTGATTCCGAGGTCGTGGGATTGAGCCCGGGGTTGGGCTCTGCGCTCAGCACAGAGCCTGCTTGGGATTCTCTCTCTCTGTCTCTCTCCCTCTGCTCCTCCCCCACTCACGCTCTCTCTCAAAAAGACCCAGAAGACCCGCAGCATCAGAACAGAAATGCAGAGCCCTTTCTCTAAAAGTATGCATTATTTACAAAATTCTAAATCCTCAATCACGCAGCCATTTCTGAACATAGCTGTACTCATTTATATTCTTAAAATTTTTTTTCTTCTGAAAATGTTTCCATGTGGCATCATTCAAATTGTAATGGTTTCTCCTCAATGTTCCCCCCCAAATCGGGCAGCTATAAATTTCCTTGTGTAAAAGGCTTTTTATACTGGAGTTTTTCCCTGAGACACAGCCCGAAAGAGAGCAGTACCGGGCAAACGGAAAGCAAAACTTCACGGCCATTCCTCTGCTCGGTCACGCCAACCTAAAACACGGTGTCTCAGCTCTGAGCATGCCCGGTGTTCTCAGTCCTGCTGACGCTGGTTTTGATCATTTGTGTTTATTCTGCTGGTTTAAGGCGTGAGGTTTTACTCAGGGTAGCTTAAGACGTCTTTTCTCCAATATTAACTACCAGAGGAACAGTGGGGACCAAGGCATGGTACTTGTGGATTCACTATAAACCCAACCTGGGCAAATCTCTCTCTCTTTAAAAAAAAAAAAAATTTTTTTTAATGTTTATTTATTTTTGAGAGAGAGAGACAGAGAGTGAGTGGGGAGGGGCAGAGAGAGAGGGAGACACAGAATCTGAAGCAGGATCCAGGCTCCGAGCTGTCAGCATAGAGCCCGACACGGGGCTCAAACCCACAAACTGCGAGATCATGACCTGAGCCGAAGTCGGATGCTTAACCGACTGAGCCACCCAGGCGCACCATGACCAAATCTCTTAACCTCAGTTTCCTGAGTTTCAAAGTGGGGATCGAGGGGCACCTGGGCGGCTCCGTCGGTTAAGCGTCTGACTTTGGTTCAGATCACGGTCTCGTGGTTCATGGGTTCCAGCCCTGTATTGGGGTCTCTGCCGTCAGCACAGCGCCTGCTTTGGATCCTCTGTCTCCCTCTCTCTCTGCCCCTCTCCCGCTCACACTCTGTCTCGCCTTCTCTCAAAAATAAGTAAACGTTAAAAACAATTTTTTTAAAATAGGGACTGAGTCCCTATCACAAAATCCAATGAGATCATGCTCAACTGTTCGCTGTCTAGGAGTTGCTATTAAGCTGAAAACGATTTTCTTGTGGAAACACTCCGATCTGTGCTCACGCCCTGAAAGTACTTCCTTCGTGCGTCCTGGGAACGGGGCCGGTGTTAACCACCTATACAGAGCCGACTGCATGCTTTCCGTACAGGTCCGCATGGATTCTGTGTGTCGCACTGGTCAGCGTCCTCCCTGCTGCCCCATCATGTTGACTCAGTTTCCCCTGTAGTCCCACGGGGCTTTGTTGCAAATGTTGCATCATCACACCCGAAAGTCACATCGTTAATGTTATTTGATTCCTTGGGCTCAGTGGTCTCAGAATTGGATCCCTTCCAGGTCCGTCTGCATCTCACTCTTCTCGAGAAGTGTGCTTCCTTGACTCAGCAGGTTTCTTGTGGTCCTATTTCTCCACCGCCACAGCCCTCATCACGGAATGGCGCCGGTGCCGTCACCTTGCTTCACTCGCTGTGCTGTGTGTTACGCGGCCCCGTGGCAGAGCTGGTGTGTGTGTTAAAGTGTTAAAGGCTTTATCCTATCCCGCTTTGTTTCCTCAGCGTCTCTAGTTCAGTGTGGTGGCGGGGGACGTCACCACCGCGACCGCTGTCCTCTGCTGTGCACCTTCTGCCCTGCGCGGCCTGCTCGGTCTCCCCTCACGCCCCCAGCAGCGCCCGCAGCGTCTTGTCGTGAGCTCTCCGGCTCCGCGGACGGTGCTTTAGGGGCTCCTGGGCCCTGGCTCCCTGTCACCCCTCTTGCACGACTGCATTAGAGGAAAGGCGTCCCTCAACCCTGGGCTGTTTTGAGATTCAGACTTCAAAGGGGAGGTTATCGGTCCTGCTGGAGTCGGTACTCACCCAGCCAGCATCGGGCCTTTTCTCTGCCAGAGTCCGGACAAAATCCGGGTCCTGCGGCAAGCAGACGGAGAGATGAAGACACTGGCGGGCGGCCTCTGCCCCCTGCAGCCCGAAGAGCGGGGCCTGCGCCTTCCCTGCCGCGGCCGGGCGCCACCGCTGCGGGGCCACGACTTACTCGGGACGGGTCCAAGAGCTGCTGTATCTGCCGGTCCTTCCTGCTGTTTTCCTCCTCCAGGCGCCGCAGCCTTGTTCTCATGAGGTCCACGTCACTTTTCTGCACGTGCAGGGACTGAGAGGAGACAGAACCACACACACACACACACACGCGTGCACACACGCACCCCAACACCCAGGTGAAACACAAGTCGGAGCAGAACTCGCGAGGTGGCCCGGTTCCCGGTCAGGGCGCGTGCGTGGTGCTGGGGGGAAGGAGGCACCTGGTGCCTGGGAACCAGGGGGGATGCCGTCAGGTGCAGGACCACCCGACGTGAGTAGGAACGCCCCCTCCCTAAAGGCAGCCCCACACAGGCACGCCGCTCTCTCCCACGCCCACCTGAGGGAGCCCACACGTGTCACAGCACGTGTCACCAAAACTCATCCGAGGCTAACGTCCACTTAAAACTCTTGACCTCAGCTGGGGCTTGGGGGGGGTCAGAGTGGGGGCCCCTGCCAGTTGTTACCAGTCTGCGGTGAACGGAAGGAAAAAGCCTGAGCAGCTGATTTTTCACGGTACTAAAGTGATTCAATTCCACAACCGCCCTCTTTAGAAAACTCTCCTCCCTCCTACTTTGGGCTTCTGTCGTCCTTTTAGGAAATGGTGATGGTAGGGGATTTTTCATTTTTGTTTTCCATGTCCTCACTTGAAAAGGCCTTCTCCCAGGGCATGAAACCGTGAGGCCTGGAGAACACGAGGTTCAGACGTGCCCACAGCCCGCACGGGGACAGCCAGGGCACTCAACCAGCTTCCGGCATCAGCCTGCATCCGAACTAGCCAGTTAACCTGGAAACACCCTTCTCCTTCCAGGACTCATGAGGCGTAGAAGAGAGACAGTGCCCGAACGAACCCAGCCCCCACCACTGGCAAGCGGACTCCCAGTATGCACTGCAGAGAGAGAGGCCGGACAGGTCAGCTGCAGGCCTCCCGCTGGCCGGACTGCCATAGCGCTCCAAGAGACGAGGGGACCCTGGCACTCAGTGAGTGTTTAATGAATAGGTCAGTTCGTGCACAGCCATTGGGAAGGAGAAGAAATCTAATAATGGGAATTCTGCTTCCGGAAACGGGGTACACTCAGTGTTCCCTACTCCTGCAGCCGTGGACACTGTAGGTAAGGCAGATGTAAGAAGGCTCAGAAGGGTGGACAGAAGACAGACTAGGCTGGGGCTCAGGACCCAAGCAGGGACTGCAGAGCCCCCCGATTTTCCTGCTGCCTCACGTGTCCTAGACGGGAGCGCTGGGGAAGCCAACAGCCTGGACAAGCCCACGGGCACAGACAGGAAAGGGGCAGCCTGGCCAGGCAGAGAAGGCACGGGTGATAACCGCTCCACCCTCAGGCAAACACAACAGAACCTGCAGGCCTCACCCCTTCCAGTGAAGGCTGAGCCGGGAGCCAAGCCCCCCACCCCTGCCAGGCTGTAGTGAGGCACGCTGCCTCCTCGCGGGGGGGGGAGGGGGGGTCAGAGGAGGCCTGCTAGAGCATCAGGACTCTCACTCTCCAGGGGTCATGAGGCCACATACACAAAATAAAGTGCAAGACTTAAATCCTAACCTACCAAAAATTACATTAAATATAAATGACCCAAACAAACCAACTAGGAGACAGGAAGTGGCAATGTAGATTAAAAAGCACGCCCAATTACATGTTGTCTGCAAGAACCTCATTTTAACATAATTAACAAGCAAAGGCAGGAGCGGCCATGTTAGCACCAGACAAAGCAGAATTCGGAGAACGGAAACGACGCGGCGACTCTACAGGCCAATCCACAGACGAGACGAGAGACCATAAATGCGCCCTCATCAACAAAAGAGGGAAGGCGTGTGACTAAAGAGGAGGCAGAGCTCCCCCCACAGTGTCACATACTGCATCAGTCCACGTAGAGAACATTACCAGGATGCCAGAATTATAGAGATGGGGAGAAAAGCCAGTGGCCGCCAGGAGTCAGGGATGGGGAATGGGGTGGGAGGCAGGTGTGACCACAAAGGGGCAGCTGGAGGGACAGCATGCCCGGTGGCGTGGGGCAGCGTGCGCGCAGGGACACGGGTACACACACGCGGCAACACGGCACGGAACCGGACACGTGCACCAAGTCCACGTCTGCGGCCTGGCTTTGACACTGCGTTGACTGCTGGGGGAGACGGGTGCGGGGGGGGGGCCTCTGTGCCATCCCCGCCACTCCCTGGGATGTTCTGCACTCGTGGCCTCTTGCGGGGTGCCGGCCGTGGCACAGAGTACTCCCTGGGGCCCTGCGCTGATGGGAGCACCCACGTCGCGACTGTGAAACCGTTCCTGTGTTATCCCCATTTTTCAACAGGAAACTGAGGCACCACTTGCCACAGAAAAACAACTCTGAAGCTCAGAGTCCTGGAAGTGAAATTCTCCTCCCCCTGCGTTTAGAAGCCTAGACTGATTTTTCCCATACATCCATGACGGGAAGTTTGAATAAAGTCAGTATCATTTTACCCAGAGACCACTTCCAGCTCCAGAAGATTCCTTTCAAGACTGCTACTGCAGTGATTATTCTGAGTTCCAAATGAGGGCTCTCCCCACAATAACTCTGACACACAGCTGTCCTCAGGACAGGGAGTGCGATGCTCCAGCAGCACCTTCACTGCTGGGCAGCTCCCATGGGGGAGCAATCTCTGGAGGGCCCCTGACATCGGAGCATCTTGTCTGGGCCGCCACAGAAGGGCTGCGTCTCATGCACGGGGGCCCAGACCGGGGGCTCCTCGGGTAAGATGGCTCGAAGACTCCTCGCCGTGGCCGTGCCCCTGGGCGTGCTGGCTGCCCACGCCCCACCTAACCTCTGGTGCCCAGACGGGCCATGGCCCTCCAGATGCGGAGGAAGCGAACCCTGGCCGCTTCTCCAGGGGCACCAGTATGCACGTGGATGCTAAGAGCGGTGTGGCAGCAGTGGTTCCGTCGAAGGCGATGAGGGTGGCGATAATTTATTCCAGGGCAACTTACACCATAAGGAGTAGGAGGTAGCACGGGGCAGCAAAAAGAGCCTTGGCCTTGGGAGGCAGGTGGCCTTGGGGGAAGTCCTCATTCTGCTACTGGTTGACCTTGGACAGACTACTACCTGGTCTGAATCTCGAGGTCATCACCGGCTAAGAGCCGTAAGCTCCCTCAGACTCCCGTAGAGACCCACTGAGCTAGGGAGCGTGGACTGTCTGGTTACCACCGAAGAGTCCACACGTGGAAGGCTACTGATAACAATGACGCCAGTGGCCTCATCTGATGCCAGATCTCTGTGCAGAGGGACTGTGATGTCAACCCCGTCTTTCCCATTTTCCGTGCCGTGCTGCTGGAGCAGAGCACACATGGAATCTCAACAGTGGAGGCCTCTCCTGCAGCAGGCTCTAGGTGGGTCTCCCAGCTTCCAAAGCACGGGGCCAGGGTTTAAACTCAGGTGCTCCTCGAGGCGCCTGGGGGCTCAGTAGGTTAAGCGTGCAACTCTTGATTTTAGCTCACGTCACGATCTTGAGGTTTATGAGTTTGAGCCCCAAGTCGGGCTCCTGTGCTGACGGTGCGGAGCCTGCTTGGGATTCTCTCTCTCCCTCTCTCTGTCCCTCCCCCATCGCACGTGCGCATGTTCTCTCTCTAAAAGTAAATAAACTTAAAACAAAACAAAACTCGGCGTCCCTGCAAAGCTCATGTTCTTTCCATACGGACACATCTCGGCACTGATCCTGACTTTCCCACCCGTGGTTACGGAAGGCTCTTGTGGTCTAAAACCAACAAAGGACAGACAGAAATACTACCTTCTTCAGCTCAATGATCTCGTCGTACATGTCTTCCTTCTCTCTGTAGACAGGGGTCCTGGGAACGTGACCTGGAGGAGGACAAGCAAACGTCTGAAAAGATCATCTGAAGAGTAGACGGAATTCTTGGCTGTGCCTTAAGAAAATCCCGGACGTTTGATAAAAAAAGAAGACCAAAGCATTTCACCGGTTTAGCTGGACCGTGATCATTCCCGGAACATAAGGAAACCAACACCAACAGTGAGTAGAAGGGTGAAGCAGGAGAGAACGGAAAGGTGTGAACACAGGGCTTGCCTGCAGGAAAAGGAAAGAAGGGGGACAGAAGGAGAAGTGATACCTTTAGATTCTAAATCGCAAACAAAACAAAAAGACAAAGACAGACAAACAGCAGCCCTTCCAGCGCTGACAGAGGGAGGCAGAGAAGCAGACTCGGGTCTCTGAAATGCACCTGATAGACTGAGACTCTACAACATTTAAGCCCAAAGTAGAACTCGGAGCCAGCAGGAAGGGGTCGGCAGGGGGTCAGGGTGACAGGGGCTCACCACGATCCCTGTGGAGGCCCACGAGGATAGCCGTGAGAGCCGGGGAGGAGACATGGGGAGAGACCAGACAGAAGGACGGAAACAGGACAACAGACCCAGGCTTTCTGGTGAGATTTGGGGTTTTCACTACGTGCAACTGTTATTTCTAGTACTGTCCATCCGATAAATCTCAGCAAGCCTCCGAGTTACAGGGGCAGGCCCGACTGGAGCCTGGGGACACGTCACTGTCACGTTAGGAGGGCAGAGCGGACTTGCGGGGTCCCCGTCCTCTCTCCACGGTCTCGTAGGGACACAGCCAATACAGGAAGCCCAAAATCTCACTTTGTCAGAGGACGAATCCCGAGCTTTCCCTTACTTGTGGCCTCGTCACCGTCACCATGCTCACCATTGCTGGCAGAACGCCTGAGATTGGACCTCTTCACTCTTAAGGCTGCTCTCACATAGTCGGGAGTAGTGCTGGGGGCGCTGGCCCACGCCTGCTCCAAGGTCAGGTCTGACTTCAGGGGCTGGGTCAGACTTCCTGGTTTGAACGTGCATGGATTTAACATGACAGGTACAGACAAACACAACGGAAGGTTTTGCCTCTACTGATCAATGCTCACGGGCTGGAGAAAGCTTATGACCACAAGCAGACGGTGGCAATCAGTGGGATGCTGATAAAAATTTTTGGCTCTCAAAAAATAACGCCCAGATCCGGAGCATTTGTCTATTTCCACGGTATAAATAGTCCTATGATGTCCAATTTCAGGAGGCCAGCGTGACATCGACCGGCTCACCAAATTCTTAAAAGTTTAACAACTGGCTCTTGCGAGTGGGTAGGAGCTGGGCCAGCAGTGCTGGGACGTCACAAGACTCCAGGGATAGCGTGTCACACCCGCAAACCGTCAGAAACCACACTTACGTGTGCCGTGAAGATTATGAGGCTCAACGTCTTTGAGAAGTTGAAAAGCAACGTCATGCAAATAAGTCCTATTACGAACTCGATCTTTTTAAAAAAAATTTTTTTTAACGTTTATTTTACTTTTGAGACAGAGACAGAGCATGAACGGGGGAGGGTAAGAGAGAGGGAGACACAGAATCAGAAGCAGGCTCCAGGCTCTGAGCCATCAGCCCAGAGCCCGACGCGGGGCTCGAACTCACGGACCATGACATCGTGACCTTGGCTGAAGTCGGACGCTTAACCGACTGAGCCACCCAGGCGCCCCACGAACTCGATCTTAAATCACCACCCACCACTCGTCAAACCCTCCTCTGGCGCGGGAAGGGCCTCTCTGTCGGACCAACCACGTACCGCGTACCTGGCTTCGAGCTTCCCAGCCACAGCTTCTGTGGGGTTAAGGACGTTCTGTTACCAAGAGGCATGCTTGCTGCCGTCCTCAGAGACCTCCAGGATGCCACTTTCCTCGGTTTAGAGTGATAAGGTGACTCTAAAAAGCCAATATATGGTTTCAGACGGGCAAGGTATCGATGCCTCTCAACATTTGTGCTTTAGTGACACAAAAATGGTACCAGAACATTCATAAGAACATTCTGACAAAAGTAAAAAACACACAGCATATGGTTATATACTACATATTATATAGCTGTATCACATAGTTATATATATATATATATGGAGTGTGTACATACTTGTGTTTGTTTTTGCGATTTTATTATAAAGACATAACATAAAAGGAAATTTATCTAAAAATCCAGTCATAATTCTACCAGTATTTGATGTTCCCAGATACAGGTGTATTATAGTCACAGAACAGTGAACACACAATTTTGTCCTTTGCACTTAACAGTGTAAATATTTTTCACTTTGCTACCTAGGGACACAAGTAATACTATCTAGAACTTACTATGTAAAACAAAAAATGTAGAAGAAATGAGAAAAAATTACCTTTCTGGGTATTTTTGATTATGTTATTCATACAAGGGAAACATGTTAAAGTTACTTTTTAATCTGGGATTTCATCTCTTTAATTATGTAAAATTGGACACATTTATGCAATAACTCAGTTGTTCATAAACCATGTTTATAAGTAGCAAAGAAATTCCTGTCTATGGTAAGTCCTGAAAAACCTAAAAAAAATCTCTAAGTTTTCTCCATGGCTTCAAAATTTAGGGGAGATTTCTCATTATAATTTGGGACGAGAGAACAGACTCGTTAGACCTGGATGCATTTTCCCTCAGCGGGACCACGGCGCCCCGGCTTGGGGGCATGCTTGAAGGCCTCCCAAACCCTGTCCATTTAAGTGCTCACTTATAAAGTAAGCTGGCCATCAGGGGCAAGCTCCACCAGTAACATTTCCCTCCCTGGCCCACGTGAGCTATCAGCGACTGGTAAGGATCCCTCAGGAAACACGCACGCACGTGGACAAAAGTGGGAAGGCAGAAGGAAACAGGAGTCGGGAGATATGAGATACTTGGGCGAGCGGGGCTGTGAGCAGCAGAGCCCTGGGCCCCGGAATCCAGTCGGGCCTTAAAGAACAACACTGGCTAAGTGAACGAACGGGACACGTGGTTGCCGCTGTCCTGGCCCAGGAAACCAGACAGAAGCACACCTGCTGGGCTGGTGTCCCAAAGGCCGCTACAGGAGTGGGCATCTGAGCGGAGATGGCTCACCCGGTGTGAGAGGGCTGAGCCAGCCCAGGGAAGGGGGCGCCGGGGTGCTGGGGAGAGGACCCTGAAGGTCGGGGGGTGGAAAAAGGCTCTGAGGACCAGGGGTGGGCCATACAGGACTCCCAGCGTGGGCTGCGGGGAGAAAGCACGGGGGAAAGCAGGGTGCTGAAGTTCAGCACCCCCCGACTTCTAGATACTTCTGGGGCTTTCACCGTTCTGTTATGTGAAGCACGACTCTGACGTTTACAGAAATCAAGATACAAACAATTGGACGATTACTATTTGAAACACTTGAAACGCTGATATTCAGTGAAAACAATTAAAGATGTTCTAATATTTACCTTATAACCGAAGAGAACTTAAAACAAAATGGTTCTAAAACAAGAAGGTTTAAAACACACACACCCGCCCTTCACATCAATTCTCAATTCCTCCATGGAAGGAGAGGAAGGACATCAAAAACCCAAACGGATAGATTCGTTCTTCCTTTTTTATTTTTTGGAGAGAGTGCGCGAGCAAGGAGGGCAGGGAGGTCCAGGGCGAGGGCGAGGGAGAGGGCGAGGGCGAGGGAGAATCCCAAGCAGGCTCCACGCTGATAGCGGGGCTTGCTCCCACAAACTGAGATCATGACCTGAGCCAAAATCGAGAGTCGCAGGCTCAACCAGCTGAGCCACCCAGGCACCCCAACAGATGATTTCTTTCTAACGTTTATATTTATCCGTAATACAAAACATGGTTTCTTTTCTGGGCAGGAATTTATCTAATTATGTTCTTCTTGGGCTAATGAAAGTCCAATCGTGTTCTCTGAGTGCGTCACATACACACAGGAGACGTTTGAAATACACTCGTATAGAAGAAACGTAGATACACGCATACGGAGGTCAGAGATGGCCACGGGCTTTTGGGTAACAAAAGGAAGCCCATCCGGGATTTAAGCTCTGTCGGAAAGGCGTTCCTAAGCATCAAATTCACACGTGGTTCTCTGGGCACTAGAGCAGTGTCGGAACGGCCCGGACGAAGAGAGGCCTGGCTGGCCGTCTGGACTAAAACCCCATCTGCCACGACTGAACGCTTGTGCCCCCCCAGTCGTACGCTGAACGCTAACGCGAACCCTAACGTGATGGTGTCGGGGTGAGGCCTGGGGGAGATGATTAGGTCATGATTAGGTCCCAGAGCTCCCTCACCCCTTCCCCCACGTGAGGTACAACCAGGTCACGGCCGCCCACAACCTGGAAGACGCCTCATCACAACCACCGTGCTGACGCCCACCCGAGTCTTGGACTTGGGCCTCCAGGACTGTCAGAAGTAAATGGCTCTTATTCAGAAGTTGCCCGGCCTTCCGCCAGCTGTCGGGGCAGAGCAACACCCATCCCCGCAACATCGTCCCTAGCAGGCAGCCACCCGCATGACCACGGGCAAGGATGGTGTCTCCCCGCAGGGGATGGGGAACGCAGAACCTGCCCACAGATGCAGCAGGGCAAGCCCACCGGGAAACCACTACACCCGCTCAGCACGGCGTCCACAGCAGCTCTGACTCAATCCCGAGGGGATGAGGCCTTCTGGCCGAGGAGCGTTCGGAAGACACAAGCGGGTTCAGAGGGCGGGGAAAGAACCCAAGAGGCCAGAGCACTGCGTCTGCAGGAGGCTCCTGGGACAGCGGCCCCTGGGAGCTTCAGCCCCCTGCTGGGCCTCCTCCCACGGGGGCCATGGAGGAAGACAGGGACCCTGAGAGTGCTGGCTCCCGAGACCCCACCACAAGGGCCACGGGGGAAGGCGGGGACCCCAGAGTACCGGCTCCCGAGACCCCACCACAAGGGCCACAGGGAAGGCGGGGACCCCGAGAGTGCCAGCTCCCGAGACCCCAACACAAAATGGAGCCAAGTGGTGGGAGTGTCACTTCTTGATAACCCCAGGTGTTTGAAGAAGACATTCTTGATCTTTCTCCCAAGACATCAGGGAAGGACAGCTTCTAAAACCCTTTCTCTGGGCTAAAGTGCAGAAATTGGAGGGAAGAAGGGCCTGGTCATACTTACTCAGTGATGTGGGTGGAGGTTTGTGGAAACTTTTCCTTTCTGCTTTCTGAAAGAAAAAAAACGACGTAAAGCACATTGAGCCTTCTCGAGGAGCCCGATGGCCCCAAAAGTGAAGCACAGGCATGTTCAGGACGGGTCAGAGCAGGTGCAAGGGCAGCGAGAGAAGAGGTTAACTCAGCAGAGACATGAGTGAAGGCTGAGCCCAGGAAGAAACACACAGCACAGCGAGGTGACCCCGGAAAACGTGATCCGTGCGGTGTTCTGGCTGCACTGGGTTCCCGGGAGCTCTCGGGACACTACCTAGAAGCACACTGAAGATGCCACACGAACAGCGTATCTTCGGCCACCCTGACTGTCCTCAGGCCAGTGCCTGCAGCGCCAAGGTGTGACCGTCCACCAGGATGGACTCGGCAGGAATACGGCAAGTACAAACCCCACTGGGGAGGGACGGTCCCGCACGGGAGGGGCCCTGTCGGAACACCGTCTCCCAGGGCAACCCTGATGCCAGATGCAGAACTGGGCCCTGCCGTGTGCCCAGGGAAAGGACAAACCTCATTGGCTTCCTCTTGGACAGAGAATCCCTCTTCCCTCCCTTCCAGCAGAACCATGAGCCCTGCCATCTGAATTTTCCCTGGACATGAGCTGGATCCCTACTCCTCCGGGGAGCATCTCGGGTCCACGGCCTCAGTGGTGTTGAGGGAACACCCCTAATCTGCAGAGGTCCCTCACTGCAGACAACGGGCACGTGATGTTCCCCTTCGAGTGCACAGAGCCGAGGTGGAACGGAGACCTGCTGGTGCCACGTGCCCTCAGAGCCATGTGCTGAGGCTCGTCTGCGACTCTGCCTGCTGGACACGTGCCTTGTGCTCTTTTTTTGTGACCGCGAAGCCGGCAGGCTGCACGTTCTACCCAGCGCGGCTCCCCAGACAAACCCAGACCGGCCAGGCTGGGGGCTGCTCTGCCTTGGGACCCCTGCTGGCCACTCTCCCTTCAGGCCACTCCTGGCATCCAGGGGACCCTGGGGCCATCGTGCCAGGACATCACACACCGCCAGAGCCGCAGCTGCCAAAGCGAATCCCTTCTCCAGCCTAGAGCCCTCTCCCCTCTTCATGCTACACCAAAACCAGAAGCAGGATAAGAGCTTAGAATGTGCCTCAAATATACTCTGCTCACAACTAACACCCGGATACAAGTTTTAAAATTATAATCACGGTTACCTATACCAACCAAGGGCTCAAAACTCCTCAAGTGCAGAGTAGCCCCTAGAGTGTGTATTCCGGTTCTAAACGTCACGTTTGCGGGGAAAGAGCCGGGGGCGTGTTTGGGTAACGTGTAGGGGCCAGATAATCAGCAGTGGGACAAGCGGCTGTGCCCCGATCACACTCACCGTCTCAAAGTCAGAGTCAAAGGTAATTGCGGATAGACTGTCATCTCCCTGGAAGAAGAGATGGAAACAATGAAATTTTAGGGAACCTGCCTGGCCCCCCACGGTCACACGTACAAAGTGAAAACAGCCCATCCACGGCTGCTGAGGCAGTGACTCAAGAAACCCACTCCGAGTTAGCTCAGAACATGCAAAGTGGGGAGCGGCCAGCCCGCTCGGTTGCAGCCCAAAGAACGGTGGCGGACGTGACACAAAGCTCCACCCGCTCGGGCTGCTCCACGTCTGTCCATCTAGCGGCACCACATCCAAGGATCCGCTATGTACTGTCGATAAAGAAACGGTTTTGGAGAAAA